TTCCCTAGTGTCTGCAAAGAAAATACTGCAAAATCTATAAAACTTTACCCCATCAGTATTTGCTGAAACACCTGCAACTTTACTTCAGGTTCCTCTGTTTTTTTAAAAGAAGTGTCAGTTCAACAAAGTAGACATTAGCAATTTCTGGGATGAAATATTATTGAAAAGTTTCATTTGCTTTAATAAAAAAAAAAAAAAAAAAAAGAAGGAAAGAAGCAGACCTTAGTTACAGACCAAAGGGTAGTTCTATTCTTCTTAGTAAAATGATACCATATTTACACTTCAGCAAATGAGATTAAAATTGGCTCAGACCTCGGAAAACTTCTAGACACATTGTAATACTTTTTCACAGTGCATGTTAGATCAGCATGCAGTTACCATGCATTTTAATGACAGGTTATATTTAAATTATGCTGTTGAAACTGCACACACACATTGCAGAAAAAGACATACACATAACAAAAGATCAGTGTTCTCACCTTAAGGTGATATCACTACATCAAAAGAAAGAAGCAAGGAATAAAGCAAAAACAAGTAACTATTATATTTTGTTAGAAACACTGTGCAAAAATGTCAGGGTCTTGTATAAAATATATAATATATAAATTATAGTTGTATTGTTTCAAGGGCAATGACTTTAAATCAATTTAATTAGGCCTCCCTCCCAAAAAAAATGTTTAAATTATTTAGCTTAACTGATGGAGACCAATTTTAATAACAGGGTTGCTCACTAGCAAGTCAGGGACAGATAAGTGTAAATATTCCAGGTTGTGAATTTAAAAGTTAATCTTCAAAGCTGTTATTGAAATAATCTCTCAAGTTATGTCAAAGGTTCAATACTCTTACAGAAAATAATGTTAGCATAAAATGTTTTACACTTAAGATTTAATACAAAAAGTCAAGAACAGTAGGTAGCATGGATTCAAAATTCAACATTGTATTATCTTACTAGAACTACTGACAATCTATTTTTAGCAAAACATGGCCCAAAATAACACATTATGAAATTCAAGCAGTCACAATCTGTTCTTGCATTGATTTTGAAGTGGTATGTACCTATCAAGAACATTACGCTTGTATCCTTATTGGTTTGGATGGGCAGGAGATGTTCCATGTTGTCATGCTGTCTGGCCCACTAATGTTCTTACTGTTCTTACATGAGACCTGGGACTGTGGTTCACACACAATGTAAATCCCAATGTAAATCAAACAGAAGCCTTTGCACAAGTGGTTCACTAGATTTCAGGAAATTATCTTCATGTAAAATGTAATGAAAGATGCAATTTGCAGCTGAAGAGTTGGACTATCACCAAATCTATTGCCTAGACCTCAGCTGAGCTAAGTTTAGCAGTCAGAATTTCAAATAAATTATTACATGGTTAGTATTGGAGTTCAGTATTTTTTAGCACAGAAATGAGACAAAATGTTAACAACTTCTGGCACATAAATTTTCCTTTTTTTTTATTTTTTTTTTTTTTTTCTTTTTAAACAGTAATTGTTCTCACACTGACTAGGAGGAAGACTTCTATCAGAAGTAATCATTAATGCTCATGACATTTGAGGATATTTATGTGTAATATGCTCTTCCATCTGGGGGGAAACTGACAAATAAAACATTCATTTTTATTTTCTTCCAAATATAGTGGCTTTTAACATAATGTGACCAAGGTCTTCCATGTTCTTGATTGCTTGTTAGAGCTTAATTTTTTTTTTTTTTTTAAATAATTGTTTTTCATTTTAAAAAGGTGCATACTGGTAATGATTTTGCCTCTCTTTCATCTGTTTCTGAACTTGTAGACATCTTTTATGCAGCAGCCCCTCAAAATTAATATTTTATCAGTACTCAATAAAGAGGCTTAATTGTGACTAATGCACTCTATATGTGTAGTCTATGTCACATCAAATTCCTCTCTTAGCTCCTCCATTAGTTTGAATCTTGAGGAGCTATATATGTCAAAATTAAAACTGTAATGCTTTTCCAGTGGAGAGAGAGATGAAACTGAACTTCTCATAACTCAAGCTAGTTGCCTAACCATATTTTGTTCTTTGGGGGTTAAGAGAAGAATCTCTTTCTTTCTCTCCACTTTCTTAAGCCTTCAGGAAAAAGTTTTGGTCTAATGTAGAATCAAAACATTAAAAAATCCTACCTATTGTTAAAAGCCCCCACTCATTTATTCTTAATCAAAACTGCTGCTTAGGCTGTCGTTGTTCATGGTGGTTTTTTAGTTGGGTTGGTTTTTTTTTTGGCAAAGTTATAGCAAAACAGGAAAATAAAAGGGAGAGTCCAACTTGACTTAGTGCAACTTGACTTAGTGGCTGGAAAACTATAGACATTTATTTAAGAAAAATGCTGAACAGTACCCTTAAACTGCTTGTGAGGAGAGATAAGTATGTTTTCTAAACATCTTTACTCTTCCCTACAGTACTCTGCTATTACAGGGCTTTACTGACACTCCTTTAAGTAATAGGAAGCAGTCAAAGAGTGATGTAAGATACTGTATTTCAGCCCTGTTACTGACGATGATTTGTCTGCAAGGCTTCTCATTGAATGTTTGCTGAGGGTACAAGACCTTATGTATAGCTTTTGTACAAAAACATTTACTAATAAAATAGACCACTGAGTCAATTTCAACAGATCAAAATTTACCGTTCACTCTTACTCTGTGACTGATAATATATAAACAGCAGAGATCACACATAAATATGATTACATCTTAATTACAAACCTTGAAGTAAACTTGGTTAGAAGCTCATCTGAGCATTAAAATTTGCCATTTATTTATAAAATATGACATTAAAATAAAATGAATGCTTTGTTACTGTGGCATAGATTTAGCCACCATCCTATACACAACCATACTATCTATATACCAAGAAGTTTGTAATGTACCCCTTTAAACTGCAAAACATGTTTTGGAAATAAACATATATAGCAATTTTTAAAAAAGACAACAACTAGTCTTCTTCTGCTTAGTATGTTTGGTTTAGGCATGTGAAAGACCAGGATGCCAACAGTGGGTCCATTTTCAGAAGTCTTCTTTTTAATGAATCATTGACTCTGGTAATATATAAATGAAACAGAAAATACTATGGCATCCCATGCAAATGTCAGACGTATTTTCATTGGGTTTGCCATTGTCATGATACTTGTATTCAGAACATCCTTCATATTTTTACACCATTATAATGATGTCTCTTTCTACTCTTCCTTATCCCCAGCAATAAGCATCATGCTTCTCAAGCCACTTGGGAAACAAATTAAAAAATATAGCAAAACCAAGGGAATGGTGAGTAGTAGGGGGAAGATGAACACTGTTCATATTTATGCATGCCAAAATACTCATTAAAGGATGATCTTTTTTTCAGAGCAGCAAATTCCCACCAGGAGACTTTTGCTGATGATGCTGCAGGATATTATTTCTGTATATCCCCAAAGCTGGTTCCTATTAAGTTACTACTATAACTTCTTTTAGTTGTTTGTCCTTCTGAAGACGAAGAGGTACATCATAATCTCTTCTCAAGACATGCTAGAGAAGCAGGTAAATCCTCACACATAAGATGAGAACATATTGTTTTTACAAAGTTCCTGCTGTACTCTTTATTTTGTAATCCCAGCATTGTATGTGATTATAACATACTAATCACAGAGAAACAAATGGTAAATTGTCACATATTTCTGGCAAAGAGAGTATATATACTTTCTGTGTAGATGAAAGGGAAAATTATTTAAAATATTTACAAAATACTGCCATAAATGAACAACTGAAAAAAAAAAAATTGTCCTTTGTTATATAGTCATATCTCCCAAGAATATTCAGTGGTGTTAATTGGTGGTAACTTGAGGCCGCAGTTTAGTTTAATGAGGGTTTTTTTTTTTTTTTCTCAGCACCAATGCAAATGTGACAAGTCTTTAAGAATCAGTTCTGTTCCCAACTTGGCTCAAGTAAATGCAACTCCAAATGTGTAAGTAAATTCAGAATTCATCCAGCATGAGCTATATGTACCTAAGAATTGTCATGCTTTAATATATCTTTCTGTGTAGAAGAAAATCATGCATCAAAAGCTTTGGAAGACTCAATATCCACCAGATTGTATAATTAATGTTTTGGACTGCTGCATAGATGGATTCCTTTTTCTTTTACACAGCAGAAGTAGTGAAGACAACCTTGACGACATGCCGGCCAACAAGCCCAATTAGCAAACATAAACCACTTCCCTTTCCAATTAAAGTTTTAGTTTGGTTTGGTTTTTTTCAACTCACGAGCTGATACTCTAAACTAAGAGTTTTCCTCAGGTTACCACTTTCTATCTTCTCTACTGCTAACTGTGAACAGATTATTTTCCTTTTAGAGAAATATATTGCCTCTTACAAAGCTGCCACTAATGGGTCTTTAAAAGGCTGCTAGTGGCTGGTATAGCAGCACTGTCCCCTCAAGGATCAATCACTGAAGCTGTATAAAGAGCCTAGTCTCTCCATCCTGCAGATTGGATCATAAACATACTTTTGAGCATGGCTCTCTCACAAGGTGTTTACTGCTATTGCACTCCATGTTCTAAGGAGTTAGAACTGAATTCCTGAACTGAAGGATGTGTGATCAATTCACCTCCCCTTAGGGCAGCCCTAAAATCTGCTTTGCTTTATTGCTTTTCAATGCAATAATGCATGTGTCAGTGGAATCAAATGATTTTTCCAATCCTGCCAGCATTTTGGGTAGTCTCTTCCCTAAACTGTAAATGGTAGAAAAATCATTCTTGTCAGCTACTTTACCAAAAAAGAATAATGAAAGATGACACATCGGGTTGGAGCCGGTGAATGGGAAATCAAGGAGGATTTTTTTTCCTCCCTAAAAAGCATTTTAGAGAAGTAGTAGAAACATATTTCAATAAAGTAAATGTTGAATATTTTGTTATTGTTTGCTTTTCAAGCAAAGTAACTTTTTCTAAAATCACAAGATAATATTTATTGCATTTTAACTGGAATGAGTCCAACAAGCACTTCAAATCTTAATCCCAGATACGTATTCTTACTATGTGTAAGAATAATATGTGTACTAAGTGTACTAATACACTTTTTTTTTTTTTTTTTTTTGGCATTTTCCTGGCACATTTTAAAATTTGGCATAGTTTAGAGTTGTTTGGAAATGTCTTTTAATAGCTCTGTTTCACAAAGTTTCTCTGTGTTCAGTCTGTCAGTAAAATCAGACACTGCTGGCCTTACACAACTTCAGAATTGCAAAGGGCATGCAAAACTAATCCAATTTTACTGCATGTTAAAATGACCACACCTGGTCTTTTGTTACTGGAAACGATTAAATGAATGGGCCAGTGGAGTGTGCTAAATTTTTTTTCAATAGGATAAGGAAATTTACACTAAAGATTTTCTAGTAAGAAAAGACTCTTTCCACTGTGAAACATTTCATGAATTCTTGCTAATTTTGAATAGGTTTCTCCACTTCCACATTGATAATCTTTTGGCCCTTTCTTTAGTTAACCCTGAAACATTTTCTTTATCATCACATGCCCAAAGGCAGACAGCAGTTAGGCAGGTACTACCTGTTACCATGAACTACAGAAGATGAAAAAAAAAAAAAAGGCAAGGAGAGAGAGAAACATTTTAACTCCCCATCTGAAGCTACAACACTATTTGGATATCCCGGTCACCCTGCTTCATGTGTTATAAAGTTTTTCCAGTTCTATTTTACCCTTCTTGAAACAGAAAAGTCAAGAGCAGTTCAGTACTGGTTACTTACTCAATTGTGTTCCTGTCCACTTTTCCTGTCATATTAATGCCATAGAACTGCTGCATGGCAGCTATAGCTGATTGCATGGTTTCTGCAGAGCGCAACACCGACATTCGGGGGTCAGTTGGTGGAAGGTAGCCATACTTTTGTAACCATACCTGCAATGACAAGTGCAGTGGCTATTAAATAGAAATTAAAGGTAAATAAAATGCTCCCTAGTAATTAGTTTTGTACCATATATAATGAAGCTTCTAATTCACCAAGCATAAATACTGTTAGTTTGTTTTTTGGTTTGTTGCTTTTTTTTTTTTTCAGATAAGAAAGTTTTGGGGACTTTTATTTGATCTCCTTTACTAAAGATTCTGCTAGTTTAAGACTTACAGTGTTTTCTACGCAGAAGCCAGCTCTCTATATTATCTGAAACTGCCTGCTTCAATTATTTATTTAATGTATTTATTTATTTGAAGTTACAACTTAAGCACCTAACCCAGGCTCTAGGCACTTCAAGAAGTTTTTAAAGCAGACAAAATATAAAATCTACAATATATGCCACATATAATTGACTGTCCACACGGTACATAATAATATTCACCAACTACAATAGTAAATCCACATTAGTTCTCACACAGAAACACTATATTGTTATCATCTTTCAAAGAATATGAAAGAGGCGGTGGGGAGACATTCAGCTTTCCAAGAAGAACATCAAAATGACTTACTTATAGGCAAAGCAGGTGGCCAGGAGATAGTGAAGTAGCAGAGTATGCCTCACTTACAGGAAACTCCCTGATAAGAGGATCTTCCTTTTTAAATCAAGATGGATTTAATGCCAACTGTTTATGCTCTTAATTGTGTAGAAGTAAGAGGGAGAAGGCATGGTCCAAGTAACTGAAAGCTTTATGGATTAAAGCCAATATCTTAAGAACATCTGGAAAAACCCTCTGAAACATGCTGTCCTCTTGAGGCAATGTTTCATAAACAAGTAGCTGTGGTTATCTTAACGTTTCTAAGCATTCTCAAAATCTAGCTTATACAAAGCACAGTGTAAGACTTTTAAGGCAATGAGAGCACTGATACATCTTTTAAAATGTCTTAGCTTCTCATCTAAGGACTAGAAATGCTCACTAGAATGAAAGGTACATATATTGCCAATCTACAAGACACAGTTAAATCGTATTGCTGCAGCTTCACTCTCCCCAGTAACAAAGTACTTGTGACCCCATAAGTCTGATCTTCTGTTCTTTAAAAAAAAATGAATGAATAGATAAACAAAAAAATTGGCTCAGCCACCTCTTTCAGACATATCACATCCCAGTTCATGGATTCTGAATCATTACATTAATGAATGCTATCCACCCACTCTCCCCTTATAGTGTGTTGTGGGCTCTGTCTGCTCCATACAACATTTCTGGGGTTTTTATCTGTTTATACACACTGTTTATATACAGTCTAACACCAAACTGTGTAGTCTGCAATTTTCAGCCTTAAGTTTAGCTTGCAGAGTCCACTGAATTCAGTTCCATAACAGGTGAACCATGTTGGTGGTGCACTCCTTTTCTATCGACCCAGTGAAGAACCTCAAGGTGGATGAACTCATTGCTATGATTCACTTTACTAACACTGAATGTGTATTATAGGTGAACATTGTCTCAGTGTAAATAAAAGATCAAACTGGTACTAAAGATAGGGGAAATCTTCAGGTTATGAATTCAGATATTTCTAATTTAAACAGGTTTACCTTCCCATAGTGTGGTTCAGACAAAATCCCAAAAATGTTTGTGAGCTCCACACAACAGGGAGACACAGTACAGACAGGATTAAGACCCAGCCTAACATCTTTCACCTTCACACTATCTCTATATACAGGAGCCGTTAGAATAAGAACAAAATTTTGTTTAATAGATAGGAAGGTGTTCTTGTTTCTAGTACAAATGAATTGCTACAATCAGTACCTACATCCAACTTTACATACTCCTGACTTCTTGCACTTTTCAGCTTCAAGGGTGACTTGTGAACAGTAGGTTTGTGCTAGATTTGGGTCATCACACAAATAATTTAATTTATGTGTCACTTTGCACAAGAAGACTGTTTTTCCTTCCATTATTGGAAGATAGCTCTGAAAGGCCAGCTAGAGCTGGAAGGTTGGCAAGAGCAATGCACTATGTGGAAACAAGACCATGGAAGTAAGAAATAAGTTTTACACAGAGTGGGTTGATTTCAATGCAGCATGCAGAGTCCTTTTGAATTAATATTTACAATGAGTATTGTCCTGGTTTTGGCTGGGATAGAGTTAAATTTCTTCCTAGTGCTGCGTTTTGGATTTAGTATGAGAAGAATGTTGATAACACACTGATGTTTTCAGTTGCTGCTAAGTACCCTGGTAGTCAAGGACTTTTCAGCTTCCCATGCTCTGCCAGGTGAACAAGAAGCTGGGCGGGAGCACAGCCAGGACAGCTAACCCAACTGGCCAATGGGGTATTCCATACCATATGACGTCATGCTCAGTATATAAATAGGAGGCGTGATCCAAGAAGTAACAATTGCTGTTTGGGTATCAGTTGGCAGGTGGTGAGCAACTGCATTGTGCATCACTCATTTTGTATATTCTGCCATTATTATTATTATTATTATTATTATCATCATCATCATCATCGTTATTTTCCCTTCCATTTCTGTTCTATTAAATTGCCTTTATCTCAATGCATGAATTTTACTTTTTTTTTTTTTCCTATTCTCTCCCCCATCCCACGGTGGGGGCGGGAAGTGAGCAAGTGGCTGTGTGGTGTTTGGCTGCCTACCGGGTTAAACCACAACAAGTATACTTAAGAATGGCATTATTTTGAGATTCATCTTCTCAGGTCAGTGATACTAAAACAAATGATCAGTCAGGGAAGAAAAATAATTCTGAGCAGCACGTCACTGTTGTCTAAAATGATGCCACCTTCTTGCCACGTTCTCAGCGTGAATTTAGTACGCAGACACAGAGCAGGGCTTTTCAGGAAGCTCTGTTTCAGGTGCTAAGGGCACATAAAATTGCTTGGTAGGCTTGTGAGGCCACCTATCACCACTCAAAACCATCACTGTGGCACAACTGAAGGAGAAAGAGGTATGGGGTTACAAGTAACCAAATTTACCAGGAGCTAAACCTTCATATATCTGAATTAGGAAAGCTATAAAGAGAGAGACAGAAAAAAATAGTTTGGGGAGTACTGCTCATGGGACAAGTGGAGTAGAGAGGACAAACTGGAATCTAGCAGAGTGCCACTGCAGACACAGAAAAGGAAAAGAGAGGTGGCTCAGAACCAGCAGGACAGGACAGTGTAGCCTTTCCCCTTCTAAAAAGACTTAAATACAAGTTAAATACAGGATGCCTGATAGTCACTCCCTATCATTGAACAAAGGAAGTAGACCACCTGGGTCTTCCCTCAGCCTTCAAAATAGCAGCTAGAAGACACAGCCAACATATCAGAAAGTCAGATGACACTCTGAAAACAAGTTTCTTTTTTTCAAAATTTACACAAATTGACCTCCAAGACTAATAACTGGGGAATGTTTGAGAGCTAGTAACATTTATAGAATCATAGAAACATAGAATAATTTGGGTTGGAAGGGACCTTTAGAGGTCATCTCGTCCAACCCCCCTGCAATGAACAGGGATCAACTAGATCAGGTTGCTCAGAGCCCCGTCCAACCTCACCTTGAATGTTTCCAGGGATGGGGCATCTACCACCTCTCTGGGCAACCTGTGCCAGTCTTTCACCAACCTCATCATAAAAAATTTCTTCCTTATACCTAGTCTAAATCTACCCTCTTTTAGTTTAAAACCATTACCCTTTGTCCTGTTGCAACAGGCCCTGCTAAAAAGTTTGTCCCCGTCTTTCTTATAAGCCCCCTTCAAGTATTGAAAGGCCACAATAAGGTCTCCCCAGAGCCTTCTCTTCTCCAGGCTGAATAACCCCAACTGTCTCAGCCTTTCTTCATGGGAGAGGCGTTCCATCTCCCTGATCATTTTTGTGGACCTGGACCTGCTCTGGACCTGCTTCAACAGGTCCATGTTTTTCTTGTGCTGAG